TGGACTTGAGTTTGTAGTAAGTCCTCTTATTACAGGGCCAAATGCAGCCATACTCCCTGTGGTCACAGTGTGCAGGTTTGCACATCCGTGTTTCTTTTTGATGGATAGATCCTCAGTGGGAGCGAATTGATGAGGGTTCATTACTTGCTCTGGTGGTGGTATGTCTTCTTTATAAGGTCCATTAAGGCAGAGGCAACAATATTTATGCCTTTAAATACTGATGTGTTGGGAAGAGCTAAATAAACTATTTTAAGAATTGTACCATCTGGTTTCAGACCCAGGGCTTCTCTAACACTGTGGAGACTTCCACCCAAGGTCACCCAACATAGTCCTCTCTGGCCTCGGAAAAAGCTCAGCGTGTGGAAAGCAGACAGCAGCAATGTTACTGCGTCTCATCAATGGGAAGTTTTGTTGTACCAGTAGGTGGTAGTAAGAGAATTATTTTCTGCTTTTTCTCCAGTTGAGGGAAATGCCTTTCTCACCTTTAACCAGAACTTAGGTGATTCAGCTTTTTAAAGTTGTTCTTTAAGAGTTCTTCAGTCATTCTTCAAATTTAGCAACTTCTTTTTTTTTTTATCAACAAATGTCATGCTGATAAACTTCTTACGATAATGAGATTGAATTTCTAATCCAACTGAACTTTCTCCTTTTACATCTTTAAAAAAATGATGAAAATATTCCTTGAACATACACAGATGTTTTCTGCTAGTCTTAATATTTCTTCTTTGAGCTTCAAATTATAATTGTGATTAAATATCATTCATGAACCGTTACTGTTTTCCAAAGCAGAATTTGATTGCATAAGCTATGCCAGTATACATTAATGTATTTTCAAATAGTCCTTCAACTTTAAGTTCATTTCATTATTAAGAATGTTTCTTTGAAAGTCAGTTTTTGAATCTAGTAACTCCTGTCCTTTGGCAAAATGGCAAAGTGGAATTATACATAATTTAAAAAATGTTCTTTTAACTCATCATCTCGTGATAACTGGTTCCTTTGGACAGTTAGTACCCTTGAGTATGAAACAGAGGTGAGTATTGTGATCCCATTTCTTTAGCTCATCAGTTGGTGAAAACTAGTGACATGACCCCATCTAGGCAGATGTGAGGGGACCGGGCAGTATAATGTGGATGTTGTCAGGGAGGAAAAAGAAGTGGCGACCCAGAGAAAGGGAGTTCTGGATAGCTTTTATTTAAATGTGTTTTCTAGTTGTCAGCCTGTTATTAATCTGCTATCTCTGAAGGTCATCTTTATATTTGTTTTTTTTTTTAAGTATACATTGTTAAGTGATGGCAGGGCGGGGGGGGGGGGAATGGAGACAAAAATGTGGGAAAATGGAGACAAATGTATTTGAACAATAAAAAACATTTCAAAAGTATACATTGTTTTCTTTTCGATAATACATTCTTGTAGAAATTTCAGGAGAGATATAAATGTTTAAAAAAGAGAAATCTGCTGAAAACTCTGGATGGTAAATATACTTTTGCTGTACTTTCTTCCCTTTTGATCATCACCCTTTCCTGCTCCTCTAATTTGTATATTGGTAATTTATAATCACATAAGACAACATGGAATGCTTATTAAAAAGTTGGGATTCGTACTTTTATCCCTTACATTGTTATTAAATGTCTCCAGAAACAGGGTGTTTAATGCCTGTGTAGTGTTCCATTGTATGAATGTATTGTACTTAACCATTCATTTTTTTCTCATTTGAAGTTTAAATTATTTTTATTTTCCATTTATTATAACCTCTCAGTCATTATCCTTATATATAAATTTCTGTATGTATTCCAGATGATTCTATTAGGTGAACATCTGAAAATATAGTTCCTTGGTCAAAAGTACAAACTGCTCTTGATGTATGTGGCTTGCTGACCTTCAGACAAATTTCATAAATCTCTACATCCCCAGGAGGACAACAGAGGAGTACTCTTTCCCCTGTAGGCCAACCATAACCGTTATTATTTGAAGGAAAAAAACTGAACAGGGTAGAAGTGTATTTCATTGCTTATTAGGAAGAACATTTTTTTCATGGTTGCGCATATTTGATTTCTTGTGTGACCATTCTCAGTATGCTTTTATCAACATGAAATGAATATAATCCTTTGGGTACAGTCTCTTTAGGAAGACATTTAGAGGCCTGGTCAATTTTCATTAATGCCACTGATATTAAGATACAGTTTTTTTACAATTAATTCTTTAATCGTAGTATAGTAATTCTTAATGGTAAACAAGGTGTGTAATTGGCATTTACTGCTTTGTGCTTTTCTTTAGTCAGTCGTATTCAGGGGCTCTCAGGAGCTATTCTCACGGCCCTCCATACATTTTACTCTCGTTCTGATTCTGTGGCAGGAGCCTCTCGAGAGCGCCAGTGGCCACTTCTTTCTCGTTTCTTTCTTTCTCCCTCCATCAACTCTGTCTGTGGAATGGCAGTGTTGGCTGACGAGAGACTGGCATCTCTTGGTAAGGCTGGACCTCTGCCACGACAGCTGTCTCCTTCGCTGTGACACTTAAGATTAGGCATTCTTTCAGTTAGTGATGACAGTCATGTTTGACCTTTTGAATTGTCAGTAACAGTTGAAGGAAGTGCTAAATTTTTGTCAACAATGAAAATTATCTAATTTCTATTTTGTATTTTAAGCAGATTCTTTAATTTTCCTTAGTTTAACATTTATGACACGTAATTAATATTCTTAGATGGTTGCGAATGTTTCATAAGCTATTAAAAAAACATATGAATTCTTAGATATACCTCACTTTAAATCTTGGTATTTCTACAAATGTTCCATCCGATGCAGGAGTTGTTCATACTCCTTTTATTGTAGCATCAGAACTCTTTTATTGTTCAGAGTAATTGAAATTAATAGCTGAAGACCATGTATTAGTGAAACTCATGCTGAAAAGTGTGATTCCATCTTAGTGAAAGTATGTAATCTTTGGTAGGTGTGATAGGTCATTTTTTTTGGTATTATATGACAATTAGACATAATTTAGTTAATGTTCTTAATTTTATTTAATGTTGTTAAGATTTTATGTTTTAAAGTTAAAATCAGATACCCCACATCTCTACTTGTTAATATTTATCGATTGATTGTAACACTTGTTCCATTAAGAGAGACTGTGAAATACATTTACTTATGGCAAAAGTATGAAAATAAGGAGAGGTATACGCACAATCATGCTAGTAGTTATCCCGGGGGAGGGGGCAGGAATAGCATTGGGTGAAGGGTCGGGTGGGAAGATACTAAGACTTCATTTATAGTATTCTAAATCTTTTATTGAAAAATATTAGAAGCACACCATCAGAATGGGGAATAAGAAGAATAATATTAAGAATATATTCTTATAAAATACTAGGAAAATATAACAGAATAATAGAAATAGGAAGGAATAAGAAAAATAATATTTATTGGAGGTGGTAGATACATACCTGCTTGTTATAGTTATCACTTCTATTTTATTTTAAACATTTATCTAAATAATTAAAAATAACCATAAAATTGTAAGTTGTAATTATTTGTAGTCAAGTTGAAACTCAAATTGTTTGCTTGTGTTTCCTGATGTGGGAGGGAGCTGCGTCGCGGGCACCGTACCTTTGTACTTGTAGGCAGGGTGGGGAGGGGAGGAAAGGCAAGAACTAGAGAAGACAGGTGCAGCAGGAAGTTCAGAGGCTGGGGCAGAGGAGAGGCTGAGACTCACGGGGTGCTCTCTAGCCCCGTGTCAGCTAGCACGAGGAAGCTGGATCTTCCATCGATTCTTTTTCTGATGCTACAAGGTCAGACTGTATTTCACTTTGAAAAACCTCAACTCACACCAAAGTTCTTGGCTTGTTTATTCAGTTTTATTTTATTTAGTATTTTAAAAACATGGCTCCTATCATGTAATGCTCTAGGATCTACATGTGTTTAGCAAGTCCTTTTTAGCTTCCCTTCAGGTGTATGGTCCTGTCCTTCCCACATGCATGCAGAATAAAGATCCAAAAAGTCCGGAATACTCTAGATCACTAAAGAAAGATTTTATCACACTGGATTTAATAAACCAGAAAAAATGGCCAGATAGATTTTAGGAAGAGTATAACAATTAATATTAAAGGTTACAGTAACCCCCATTAAGCAGAAAATAGAATTATTAGAACACTCAATAATAATTACTATAATACTCAATAAAGTATCAGAATTTTCTCTGGTACTTCCTTGTCCCAAATACATTTTGTTTCTTTAACTTCTATAAAAGATTTCCTGAAACTTTTGAGATTGTCTTGCATGAACTGATTTTCTTTTGCACTAAATAGAAAAGGGAGGGAAGGATGGGAAAAACATATTTAGAGAATTGTTTGCTGCTGAAATTATCCTCAGTATGTTTGACTTCCTAATTTGGTGGAGATGTTGATGATGCCATCTTCTCACATATTTATTATAGAATTTGTACCTTTGTTATAGCATTTGTTTTCTTTTACTATATTTTAAATTAAGGTGCATGAAAGCATTCACTGTACACTGGGATTCTCTTATTTTAGGTCATTCTGTATGCATTGTATCTTTGTTTAAAGATACATATATTCCTACAGCTCAGCAGAAAAGAGACATCAGACTAATACTGAGACCTTCAGGTCTTAGAGAACCTGTTTTTCTTTATTAATTGTAGAGATACCAATGTATCTGTCTTATTGCCTGTTGGTAGGGTTAAGCGAGGAACTGTATGTGAAAGTGCTTTTAAAATTTAGGAACCTTGCACAAAACTAAGAAATTTTTATTTTTTGGAGTTGTAAACAAGACTAAAATAACATTCGAGGAATTGCTCTTTTAAAGTTGAAAAAACAGAGGAGGGGGGATTACATGGGGACGTGACTTACATTTTTGAGCTGTGTGTGTTGATATTGCGATAATCCAATGGACTAATGTAATAAATACTTCAAAAGATCAAAAAGTAAACAATTAAATTAATCTCTTATTCCCATGCTCTTTACCATTTGCTTGACCATGGCCTGCATTTGTTTTAAGGATTTGTGTACATCAATGGCAGAATCCTCCAGCGATTCAGACCACTTCCGCTCTCGTGACCGATTGAGTCGATGGGCTGCGAGGTCCATACACAGGGAACTTCGGAACCGTCCTGCACTAGATGTCACCGAGAAGGTCAACACTATAACAAGTACCTTACAGGTGGGCTTAACAATGTTTGCATTGAATCGATTATAGATAGTTTAAGCTGAGTTTTGGTAAGCGTATTAGGTTTTTTGCTCCTGTAACAAATTACCACAAAACTAATGTCTTAAGTAACAGAAACTTTTTTTCCTTATAGTTCTGTAGGTCCGAATCTGACACTAGTCTCATTGGATAAAAACTTAGGGTGTTGGCAGGGCTGCATTCCTTTCGGGAGGCCCTGGAGAAACACCTGTTCCTTTGCCTTTGCCAGCTTCTCAAGGCGGCTCGCGTGTCTTGTCTCGTGGCCCCTCATCTTCACACCCTTCTCAGGTCGCATCGCTCTAACTGCCTCGTCTGCTTCCCTCGTCCACTTTTAAGGACGTTTGTGATTACGCTGAGTGCTCCCAATAATTCAAGATAATCCCTCATCTCAAGATCCTTAATTTAATATCTGCAAAATCACTTTTGCCATCTAAGATTCCAGGGATTAGGGCTTTAACACCTTTGAGGGTTCTGATTCTTCCTACTGCAGTCAGTAAGGATATTTGAAATATGTTATAGGTTGTAAAAAGTGCTTTGGGATAGCCCGTATTTCCAAATAAAATATGGTAGGAATGAAACCATTAGGGATTACCATTGTTTAGCTTTTTGTGGACACGTGTCTTTAGAAAAATTGTTCGTACTTTGGCTTGGTAGATTATTCATGGGTGGACAATAGTGAGATGCCATTTTGATTTAGAGGTTAGCCTTTGACAGTGTTTGGAAATTTGAGTGGGGCAGCTTTCATCCTTCCGTAGAAGGGGCTGGGGAAAAGAGGGAGGAAGGAAAATGTCAGAGATTGATTTTTTTCCTGCCCACTAAACCCTTACCTTTGCCTTGCCTGGATAAGCGTGCTTTATGACATTTATTGTTTGGGTTAATGTGTTTAGATAAAAAGAGGCTAATTTCTAGTGGAGAGGCCATAATTTGATTTGATTTTTCTTTTTAAACTTATGGAAACTAACATAGCAATGGGTTCTGGAGTACCCAAATTCTTATACTTTCCTACCAATGAGACATATTAGTAAGTATATGTTTTTGAAAGAAATACCTCCATTAAAATCTCAGGTGAAACCTAACATATTTAGGTAGAAACCATTTTTGTTATGATTAGAACTAAATTAGTTGTTTATAGCTAAATGTTAAAGGATACTTTTTTTTAACCCTCCCAATTAAGTTCTGAGGAAAAGTAATAGTTGAAATAAGATGGATCCCATAATTTGCTTCTCCTCTACACAGTCTACTAGATTTGTTTTGTTAGGATTCTTTTTCATAAAGAGGGTGCACAAATTGATAATGAGGATTTTTTTTTCAGTTCATGGTTTTGTTGCCCACTTATTATGGAACCTTAGATGAGGACTTAAATTATGTGCTTCAGAATGCATACAAGTAAATCGGAGATTGACTTTAGTTTTTCTCTCAGTTGTGTTAATAAGACTTAATTGATACTTATGAAATAATTGCTATCCAACTTAACTATGATATAAAGTGTACCTTTTACAAATGGTTGACTTAGCTGTTTGACATACTAGTAAGACTGATTGGGAAAAATGTTGTTTGGAACAATTAATAAAGTCCATTTTCTTTCTTAAGGACACCAGTCGGAACCTGCGACAAGTAGACCAGATGCTTGGACAATATCGAGAATATAGTAATGGACAGGCAGGTGCTATAGAACACGTAAGAATGTTTGCATATTTGTATTTTCTCTTACCTTTTTGGAAATGCAGACTTGAGGATTAGGGATGTGAGCTAAAGGAGATAATCATTGTGAACAGCTTAAACTTTGAGACTGCTTCACTATTTTGTAGTTTAAATTTAGGTTAGCTGGTCAGACGGATTGCCAACTAGCTTATGCTGATTAGATTCTATTGAATTTGAAAGTGGTAAGTCAGAGGGAGAAGAACTCAGGACATGAATTAAACTGAGACTTATTAAATTTGGGCTACAGATACCGCTCATGGGGAGTTAAGAATTTTAAGAATGGTTTATTTTAAAGTAATACATACTCATTGTTTAAATAAATAATAAAACTCCTCCCTCCTAGCCCTCTAAGTCCCACTCCAAAGAGGTAACAGTTTTGACAGTTTCTTGTATATATTTTCAAACGTTCTCTATGCCTGTATAAGCATACACTTGATTGCTTTAAAAGCTGGAATCATACATAATGTTATACAACTTTTTTTATTTAGTAACATATGTTTATATTATTTTCTATATGACATACAGCTCATTCTTTTGAATGGTTACAGAGTAATCCATAGTATAGGTGCATCCAGTATTTTTTTTTAGTTTGGTGTTGTTGTAAATAATAGAGCAATGACCATTATGGTACATGTGTTTTTCTGTAATCATGCACTTCCTGGGAGCAGAGTTGTGGGGTTAAATGATATGTGTACTTACAGTTTGCTAGATACTTCAAAATTGCCCTTTTAAAGGTGTGCCATTTTGTACTTACTTCACATGAGGATGTAAAAGGAAACATATCCAAGAATCTGGAATAAAAAGAATATTTTTTATTACTGTTTTGCTAATTCAATCTCTATTATTTCCCTCTTTTGAAATTTGTTAATTCATCTGCACACCCTTAGAAACCCAATTAAATTTATTTCTTCACATTTTCAATTATGCATATGCACTTTAATAAGACTAGTATTTTATTTGTACTATAATGGTTGTTTTAGATATATCTGTACTATACTGATTATCACACAACTTCAAACTTATAATTGGTGATTTGTTATCTTTTTATAAAACAGAAGCATAGTTATTATTTGCCTGTAATTGGAAGCTAATTGCTTCTAATTGGAAACTAATTGCTTGTACACAGGGAAACATATCTTTTGTTATAAGCTTTTCTACTACTTTTACTTACAAAATAAACTTGGACTTTTTTGCAGCCCAAAGATTTTTATGATTTATGGTGTATAGCTATAGACTTTGTATATTTGGGTAGCTCATGAAATGCTTAGATTAAACTACCTTATTAATAATGGGAGTTATTGTTTGCTTTCTAATTCATTTGTGAAACATTAAACACTAACTTTCAATAGAGAACAATCCTACTTTGTCATGTTGAATATTAGATGCTTACTTATGGTAGCAGATTTTCTTTGAATTTGCAATTGGGAAATGAAATTATGTTTTAGAGAAACTTATGTACGGATAAGCATTTAAAACAGAAAATGTGTTCTACTATGGCAGGAAGCCTTGGGGTAGGCCTCGAATTGAGTAACACTGAACTCTGGGAGTGTGGTTTTCTATATGGAAAGTAAGTACATTCAACAAGTACTTCATTTCCATCTGAGTTTTAAGTATGTAAAATGCAAAGCCCCTCGTATATAAAATAAGACACAGAAGAGCAAGAGTCTTTCCTTGGCTTCAGACTGTAACTTAGTGTAGTAGAGTCTCCTCCTTAATTTCCCCAAATTTTTGTGCTGTTAAAACAGTTGGTTCTTAGTGGTTTTTCCTTCCAGCATATCACAGGAATAGTGCCACTCATTGGCTTAAGTTATACTCACTTGATACAGTAGTCATCTTCACCCTGCCTCCTATAAATCGCTTGGGGGCGCACCTGCCATAATCTGTGGGAAGATGTGCAACTAAGAAAGAGTGTTTTTCACAAGTGATTCTGATGGGCTCTTCAATGAAAATTGCTTTGTTCGCATTAAAATATTTATTGCTATGGAATATATTATACCTAAAAAGGAGTATATGTAATGTGTCAAATATGTGATTCATCTGAATCTTTCTGTTTATATTCTTGAAGTCTTTTACCATATTATCTATTTATCATTTTTTTAATCAATGTGTGTGCTGTTTAGGGAGGAATGCTGGGGATTGATTTTTTTAATTTTTATTTTTGAGAGTATGATGCAGCTTCTACAAGCCCTCTTGCTGTGAAGTCTGCTGTATTTTAAAACAAATCCTGTAACAGCTTAATTCTTTTTAACCAGTGTTCAACTGTTAAAAATTTTCTCCATGCTAAATATCTGTTGCCTTATTGAAATTAGCATTTCTTTCTTTTTTTTTTTTTTTTAAATAGGAGATTTCCTAGAAAATGAGATCAACTGTTTTGCTCTCGGGAAGAGACAAGAACTTTTATTGTTAATTTAGGTGTTATAAATGATTCTATTGCTAAACCTCAGGAAATGGATGTTTTATGTAGGCATTTAAATATTTCTTTTATTGGGGTTTAATTTTGTGAACATAATTTGGCAATGGGTTGGGGGGGATATAAGTAATTGATGTTTCCCTCCTGAGAGGATCTCCCCCAGCAAGAGAACTGTGAGAATCATCGCTGTCAGTTTTCTAAGGCCTAAGGGTCAAGAGTCACTCAGGTTACCTTTTTGACTACTCTTCCTTAAAATGCACATCATTTCACTATTGTTCCCTTGGACCTTTATGACCTCCAGCCCTACATTTCATTCTTTGCTGCTGACTGTGAAGCCTGCTCTGTCCGCAGGGCAGTGGCCTTGGAGGGTCCGCGGCGGGTTCCGCGGGGGCTGGGAGAGAAGCAGCCCCTGCATGCCTTTCCATGGTCTTCCTCGGAATTTCTTTATAAGCTTGGTGTGTCCCAGGCACTCTTTTTCTTATATCAACTCATTTCATTCTCTCAACAATTTTATTAGGCAAATACTATTATTATCCTCATTTACAAGATTAAAAAAGTGGGGCACAGAATAGCTACCTAACTTGCCCAGCTAGTCAGAGCCAAGGGCAGGATGTTATCCTAAAACCCAGCGTCCGGACTCATTGACCTCATTTACCTCGTGGTTGTGCACATTTTTGTGATGCGAATTTGTATTTCTGAAAGTTGGGATTTTACATTCAAAGTTTGAAGGGTTATGTAATTTACATCGATTAACTAGATTTTGGAGATTATCTTAAGTAATTGAAAAAGAGAAGGCCATTGTCACATGTCATTAATATTATAGCTGCTATTAATATTAATAGTACGTCCAGAATTAAAGTTAGATGGAACAAATACAGAAGCAGAATTGGGAAGAAATCTAGTGCTGAGCTAGAATTGGCGTTGATGGATTGTCAAGCTTGGCAGTTTGGGCATCATGGTGGATTCTGCTGCTAACCTACACCAGCATCGATTTTCCCCTTCTGCCTAAGTGACAACCATTGGTTTTTCACTAGCCTTTCTTGCAGCTGTGCCTGCCAATAAGCCATTTTTAATCGGACAGTATGGCTTAGGGTCTTTGGGCTCAGTGAACTTCATGACCTTGAAGAGTTGTCACCTTGCATTATTTCTTATTTTGTAAATTTCTTGGGAGATCTGAGGACATTTGGGCCAAAGAGGACCTGTGGGGAAGGTTTTATCTGAAAGCTTATTTTGAACATTTAGAACATATACTCCAGTGTTAAATAGTGCAATTGATTAGCTTAGTGTTTAGAATATTTTGAGAACATTCATGAGACAACAGGGTCTATTTTTGTGTTAATTCTATAAATACGGAATGCCCTCAAGAAATATATTCAACATAAAAAGTTAATACCTTTGTAGTGGAGATGTGGAATGTAGCTGATGAGGCTGTTAGTTAATATTGATATAAAAGAAAAATACAGTTCCCTCGATTCGAATCAGCTTGTTTATTCATTTTGAAGGTAAAGATGTGTTAAACTATAATAATATCAAATTAGACCTTAGAGGCTTGCATTAATAGGTAATTTTTCTTCTAATTAGGTATTCTGATTAAAATTTCCCTTTGGGAGTAATAGGATATTACTATCTGGCATGTGAACTTTGGAAGAACTTAAATGTTAAATAATAAAGTCCAGGTTTTTCTTCTATTCAGTGAGTTTCAGTTGTCAGATATACTTAGTGACCCTTCAGAAGGATAATGTCAATGGGAGAGCCAGGCCCAAGCCATTTGTAATATCTCAAAGCTGGAGGTATCTGCCCCTTCTTTCCTGGCTGAATTTTACTGATAGTCATGAAGGAGAGAACTGGGCACAATGAAATTCTGCTGGCTGCTGCTTTTTGTAAATATACTTCAGCTCTTAGGAATTAGGTTCTTAAAGTTTCATGTTTAAAATTTTATTACCAAGTCTCTCATGAAACTACTGGACAGGGAAATAATTTTCACGGAATTTTGCTTTGAATCTAGTGGAAAAATGTAAATTTTGGAGATGGACTTCAAATTTAATCTTGGCTTTTCAACTAGAAACCATTTAGTTATTTTGGGCAACCACTTGGTTTTCATCATCTTAAAAATCAACATGATCATCTAACCCTCATGATAACATTTACTGAAATTGTCACACTGTTGTGGACACTGTTTAAACACTCACGTTCTTGTTATTTTAAAAATCCATCCAATAAACCCTCTACCTTCAGGCATTTGCTGTGTTACTGTAGTACTTGGTATATTGTAGTCATTCAGTACATGTTCTTTCCTTTCTTGAATTCATTAGGTCTAATGTCAGTTTCATCAGAGTATCGTAGTTTCTATAAACAACATAATGTGTTGCACCATTCACAGTGATATGTATATCTGCTTATTTTGATATCAAAATATATACTAAATTAGATAGCATACATAATATTGCTTTATTTCTCCTCTATGTTCATGAGTATATTGTTTGACCACCCAAAATACAATAATGTACTATTAAGGGTGCCTTTCATTTTTCACAAATGCTCATTTATTGACATTCAAAATATTATG